CAACGGGCTTGGCGTGGAGTGATATCTTTCTTGGAGAGGATGGAGGAGACGATGGTGTTGTCAGTGCGGATGGTGAAGTATTGCCCGTCGAGGTACGGGCGCCAGACTGTGAGGGCGTGAATCACGGCGAGGAGTTCCTTCTCGTTGGAGGGGTAATTCATCTCCGCGGGAAGGAGCTTCTTGCTTGCGAAGGCGATAGGGTATTCGCCAGGTGGAGCCTCGGGGTGAGTGGGCGAGTCCTTGATGGGGGGGTTCTCGGCGGTGTCGCGGGAGAAATGTTGGGACAGTACGGCTCCGATGGCCAAGTCGGAGGCGTCAGTGGTGACATAGAAATGGCGAGTGGGGTCGGCAATCTTGAGGACAGGGGCCGTGGTGATGGTTTGCTTGAATAAGTCGAAAGCTTGTTGGCGGCGATCGTTCCAATGGAATGGCTCGTCCTTGCGGGTGAGTTCGTGGAGAGGGTACGAGATCTCGGAAAAGTTGCGAATGAACGGGCGGTAATAGTTGGCAAGGCCAAGGAAGGAACGRAGTTGGAGGAGGGTCTTGGGTGGGGGGTACTCGACGAGGGCTGTGACCATTGAGGGGTCCATACGGATGCCTTCAGCGGAGACAACATGGCCAAGGTATTCGACGCTCGAAGTGGCAAATTTACATTTGCTGAGCTTGGCGTATAATTTTTGCTCTCGGAGGATCGCGAGGACTTGGCGGAGGTGCTGAAGGTGGGACTCGAAGGTGGGACTCGAAGGTGGGGCTGAAGACAAGGATGTCATCAAGGTAGACAACGACACAGACTTCGAGGAGGTTGCGGAAGATGTGGTTCATGGTGGATTGGAAGGTAGCGGGGGCATTGGTGAGTCCGAATGGCATCACGAGGAACTCGTAGTGCCCGAACCGAGAGCGGAAGGCGGTCTTGTGGGTGTCCTCCTCGCGGATACGGATCTGGTGGCACTACGAAGGTCGATCTTGGTAAAGTACTTGGCTCCACGGAGACGATCAAGGAGCTCGGAAATCCGAGGTAGGGGGTACTTGTTCTTGATCGTGATCCGGTTCAAGGCGCGGTAGTCT